TCAATGTATGAAGGACCAAGTTCACTCAGCGTCTGTATCCCAAGCAAATTCTTCTAGCGCATCTACAGGACTACCCCTACTCCGCAGAGGCAAAGCGATTTTGTGGCAGACCGATTCCAAATCAACGCCACCTATTTTTGTTGGCCTCCGCAGCGTTCCTTTCATTTGAGTCTCTCACGTTGGCTACTCCACTCTAGTCATTTTTCCCTCCTATCCTCCTCATCCGTCTTCCTCATTGCACATTTACGCAGTTTATATTACAACTAACTAGCTTTGTACACCTAATCTCTATAACTTTTATTCACCACAATTGAATAATTAGATTTTATCAGGGAAACTTTTGGTTCCTAATTGCCTTTGCCTTCAGCAAAAACATTTATCATCTTTCTTTGTTTACAGACCCGCTTTAAGCCTGCTTTGATAGCAGTCTGTAGTCACGGCTCGTTTATGTGCCTACTGCCAAAGATATATTTGCTCGTCGTTAATCTAGCCTCATTGATGACATCGCCTCATTTACGCTCTTAGTTGGTTTACTGTTTGGGTATGATTGTAGACTTACCGCCTCTAAACTAGCTCATAAGACTGGTGGAACTTAGTATATGCGAATACAAGTTTGGTTTCAGGAATATCTCTAATCATAATTGTTGAGCTAACTTTTAATCTTGAGTGGAAGTATGTGATGAAGAGATCTGGAAGTCGATCCCACGACAAGACTAAGTGATTTACCCCTAACCAGGCTTCTGCTTTACTGGAACATTCTTGTTGAAGCCATCCACTAGACAATCTACTTCGATTTCGATGAAAATGTACTATGCTTTCGTCCTTTATATGAGGGGCACCATCCTAAAACCATATTCTAGACAAGTCAAGAAATTCACTGGCGTATCTCTAAATACTATGCATTTTGAATAGGAATAAAGTTATTTGTTTAGTTCAAGTCATATGTTAACCTATAAGCTTGTGTTGCCTACATTAATCCTAGCCGTCTATTCGGGCAACACTTGCTAAAGCTGCGTTTCATTTGTGATCACTGATCGTATGTCTCTTACACTTTTAATTAGAGAGGCTGCACGATTTAGTCCAATCGTGTAGATGACCATCTATTACAGATAATACAGCACGTAAAGCGTGAATATGTTAAGGATCAAAGCACCATAATGAACACGATAATACAAACAGTCAAAATCTCTATGAGGCTAATATTTACTAAAGTTCTACCATATTATGTACAAATAAACAATTAAAAAATTAACGATATAAAGACCAGGGTGGTGTAGTCTTTGGTATGGTCGCAGTCTCCTTTCGCTGCATAGAATTGGGCTGACCTCGTCTTCGCAACCTGGTCGTGTTGTCAGGGCGACTTAGTTGGGCGCAACTTGTCCGAAGGCCTCTGCTATAATAATTATCATAATTATCAGCGTCCGACAGTGAACTTGGTACATTTCCAGACTATTCGCTATCATTGTAGTCGGCATCGTCAGTGAGTCTTGCCATTCACAGCACCAAGCCACAACTCGTTAAATAAACAAGTGAAGTAAATTCCTTGATTAACTTTCTGCAGAAACGGTTGTGCTATCACTTCTCTTTCTGTGATAAGATAGTAAAAAGTAAATAGACGGGTCAGGACAGAAAGAGGAATGATAGCACAACCGTTTCGGCAGAAACTTGGTCAAAGGATTGATTTCATTTATCTCTGACGAGTAGTAGCTTGGGGCTGAGAATGGCAAGACTAACGATGCCGGCGAGACGTCTGGAAATGTACCGAGTCCACGGTCGGAAGCTTGGAATCATGATAACCATTATAGCAAAGAACTTTGGACAAGGTGCGTCCATTAAAAAATTAAGCTATTTCAGTTAGGCTGAACTTTTATTGGTTTTATAAGCTAAAGACTCTTATCTCAATGTTAAACCAAATCCATTAATCTATTGTGCATTGCTTATAGTTTATAAAGAAAGGCTGAGTTTCGAAGATCACCCCAGTTATTTCATGTCATTTAATCTATAATTTATTTTGAAAAGTTGGCTGGAAGATATTTGTAAATCGTACTAGGAAGAGATTGGGAGGGGGGTTGACTTTTAATTTGCATTGGTTGATACGTGTGAATAGCCTTAATTGGACTATCCTGCTATTCCATCCATCCGTCCTGAGATTTCGTCTCACCTATTGAGACTGAAACTTCAAAAGAGCAATAAAGAATTTAATAAAATTTTCTCAATGCTGAATGAAGAATGTTGGCAAGCTTCAAGTATAATAACATATTTTTGGGAACTTAATGTGACATTCCATAATTTGGTCGGCTGCTTCGTGCCCCATGCCTGTGTACTCAAAGATGAGTCAAGTTGATGAAATGCAGCTGACCAGATGATCCCTTGCCAATATCTAATATAAATGATCTGGTAATCTCTAAAATCTATATTTGAACGAAAAATAAGTAAACTGGAGTATGATCCTGCAATGTTGACGTGTATTCTGGTGTGAGCCTGCACTCTTCTTGTAAGCAAGCAATGCTCTTGAGTCAATTAAGATGTTAAAGCTCTAACCAGACTCCAAATTACTCAAGCCTCGTATTCGCTGCTTCACCTTTTCACATATCCCTAGTCATGGCTATTAGCAAACTCAGAATACCTCAGTAGCGCAGCAGCACTAGATTACAGGAGGTAGATGTGACCGTAGCCGGCCACCATTCAGGGATATAACGATGTCTCTCAAACAAGTCAGACAGAATCCCAGCACAGACACATTTGAGGAATCAAGACTAACATGTTGTGATCGTAGTCTCCTTTCGCTGTATGGAAGTATTCTGACCTCAACTTCGCCATAAGGTCGTGTTGTCAGAGGGATCTAGCTGGAAGTATCTTTCCATAAGTCATCTGCTATAGTGGTTACGATAATTTCCAGCTTTGGACTGTGGATTGAGTACCTTCCCGGACGTTTCGTTGGCATTGTCAGTGAGTCGCTATTCTTAGCGCCAAACTACACCTCGTCGACGAGTTGCAGTTGAGATGGTTGTGAAACGTCTGGGAATGTTCCGAATCCATGGTTCTACGCTAAGAGTTACCGTAGCCACTATAGCAGAGAACTTCGGCTAAGGTCCTTCAATTAGATCCCCCTGACAGCAGGACCAAGTAGATAAAATGAGTTCAGACCACTTCCATACAGACATTTCGAGTTAGCAGGACTGTGCGCCCGGGATTTCGCACAAATTGATATTCTCAACGCTGAGGCGACTTCGTATAGGACTCAAGTGAGGATAACTAGCGAATCTTTTTCATCCAATTTTTCAGACGAAAGATGAACCCTAATCCATTTCGTATGATGCTTCGATGTGCTTTGTTAAGGAAAAACATTGAACGAGGTGCAACTGGAGTGGCTCAAGTACATATATGATGTAAGGAAGATAAATGGAAATAAGAGCTGGTCAAAATTAGTTTGAAATTTCGATCGATTGGTATGCCTTAACTTGATAATAAGTCGAGCCATAGGGAATAAAACGCGGCGAATTAAAGTTAAAACGTGTATAAATCACTGTTACTGATACGATTGG